ATTATAGATTTTCTCATATTTGAAGGATGAAGGATTCCTCAGTGTTCATCACACCTTCTTCTCCAGCAGAAGGGAAGGATGCCATGATCTAGCCTGGACGGTGTTCCATGAGGGAGGGAAAAATAACATAAACTAAATTGAAAGCCCTTACAACCAAGCAATTGCCCTGTTAAGAAGATTGTTTGTATTGTTTGTATTGTTTGCATTGGCTTCCATGCAGCCTTTGAGCTGGCGGTTGGGATCCAAGATGTCGACATCAGTTCTTCATCACTCATGTATGCAATATCATTCTCCATTTCCACATACATGCTCTATGATAATGCAATCGCCACCTAAAATCATTTGTGGCAATATAACCATATCTTACTGCAGGGTCTCAATCAAGAGTATCATGGCAGTTATAAAGGATTCAATTCACCCATGAGTTTGCTTTCATTCGCTTGCGAAGAAGAAGGTGTGGGGAGTGGTGTCTTGCATTGTGTTGCCTCCATTAGAGATGACACCAGAGGAAGAAGTGGCGCTTTCTTTAACTGATTGAGAAAGATCTCAGGGATTTCAGTGGACAGCATGATATTCACGTCAAGTTTAGTAGTAGATGCTTGGGAGATACTCCACAATGACTACATCAAAACATCTTGGCTAGCATAATTCAATGAGGTTATTAAGCTTGTCAATTGTCATACTGAGGAATTTGCTCACAAGTTTTATAGTCGTGTTAATAGCTATGGAGGATGTCTTCTTCAAATGGGAGCTTGTGTACTTCTCATGTCTGTTCTCACAGACATCATGCTCATTATTAGGTTGTCTCGCAGCATAAAGCAACATCTCTCTTCACTCAAGCAAGGCTTAACCTAAGATTTGATTAAGAAAGAAATCCAGGCAGCTAAGGAACTCAATTTGATGGATAACACGAGATCAACATCAATTGTAGCTAAAAGACAAAGCACCTATCTGTGTCAATTCAGAACCTAATGTGGAGGTGATGCATGTGCATTCAAACTATAAGCGGGCAGACCAAGATCCATCTGCTGGGAAACAACAAAGATTCCAATCTTGACATTTCAACAACATAAATGATGAGACTCTTTTCGAACAGTTCAAAAAGAAATTTAGACCTAAGGAGTCTTGGTCATGAGCTCAAGCTTCGTGAATCATGATCTCAAAGGTAAATCCCAGCGTGTTACAGAGCTTGAGGATGATCCAAATTAGTGGAGATAGAGTTAGGTATGTATCAATCATTTGATCAGTGTTTTGCATACTCACTAGTTCAGTAGCTCTTTCAACATCCGAAGAAGAATATAATGCAATCAATGTTGCTACTAAAGGTTGACATGTTTATTTCATAATATTGGTCCAAAAACTCTTCTTCTTTATTTTTAAAAATGTTATCCAACTTGCACATATTAAAATATAAAATATGATTGCGGACATTCTTATAAAAGCTTCCAGCTTTATCATTTGTGAAATATTGAGATAGTCTTGGATTAAAGAGGATAACAATATAAGGGACAATGCATAGCTTCATTTAGATTTAATTTGAAATGCTCATTTGCCCTTCTATTCTTCTAAAACCCAGAGATGTAGTGCTTGAAGAAAGCCATCAAACAAATAAAAATCCTAAAAAAGGCCAAAAGCTTTCACAGACTTATATACATTAATTTACCTATTTTCTTAAGAAAAGGCCTCTTTTCAAGTTCATATCCACTTTTACATCATGAAAAAAAGGTCCACTTTATGATTTGGGAATAATAACTTATCATAATTTTCAATTTGATAGCTTTGGCCTAGACAATAAATGACAAAAAATTACTTAAGGCAAAAAACCATGAAACAGAAAATAAATTGAGCTCCAAGATGGTTTTAAAGATCACCTACCTATGTTGTTGTTCCAAGAATCTATAATGAATAAACTTTATTAGTATATACATAATGAAGCTATGCACAATAAGTGATAATTAAAACAATCCTTTATGGATGCATCTATTCATATCAATACATAACTCCATAATAATTGTAATAAGAATTAATATAATCCAAACTCAAATCCAACATAATAACTTCAATATTGATTACTATCCCTTACTTTCATAAAGTTAATATAGTCCATAATTAAATCACTTTTCAAGGAAAAGCCAAAGTTCAACCCCTATTAAGCAATCTCATTTCACACAAGATTAATTTAACTTGCCATTCAGCTCATTTGAATTTTAATATAATTGCTAATTAATAAATGCATGAGTACTAATAATATAAAGTTACTATCAACACTATTTCCATTGAGACTAGTGAAATTTATGAAGAAACATCTCATTTCACTCTAATCTCAATGTTAACAATGTCGACGATAGGACATTAGTTCAATATCATCAAATGCCATAACAAAATTAAAAGAAAGTAAGAGAAAATCACTATTCAAAGCTTTTAACAACCAAGCTAACTAAAGTCAAAGATAGTATATTTAGTATTTATAATAAAACCTTCACACATAATTAAGGAATGAATTACCATATTCAAAACTCAAT